TATATTATATTACATTATTGTCCGAACAGCAAACATTCAACAACGTATTTTTGAGCGTTATAAAAATAAGTTATAAACATTATAAGCCATGCACGTTGTCGTCTGGAAAGCAGACATTCGAAACATGATAATATTGAGTGTTATAAGCATTGATGCGTTATTTGAAAAGTGAAGCATCGCAAAAGTGATTCCTCTCAAAAGTGAGGATAAGGTATAAGTGTTATTTTAAAAGTATGCTGCACAAATGGCATTCAAATCAACAAAAGAGGATAAGCAATTTGCATTATCGTCCGAAAAGCAAACATTCCATAATATATTTTTGAACGTTATAGAATTATAAGTGTCACTGATGGAATTAAAATTTTCACAGAAATTTACAGTATCGATTCTAAGTAATTCAAAGTAAAACCGAGGAGGGAGAATATTAGTCTTTTTGGTGCTAATGATAATAACAATAACACAATGTAAGAGCAGAAGCAAAAATAACTTTTACCATAAACAGAGATTAAAATAAAAATTAAAAAGAATTTTTCTACGAGAAAGAAATTTATTTACTATCTGAAAATTTCAGTACGAGTAGTAGATTTAGTAGATTTCAGTGTATGAGTAGTAGCTTTCAGAACGAATAGCAGATTTAGAAATTTTGCAGTAGATATAGTCCAAGTTGTTAGAAGCTTATTCCAAGACACTCATTAAGTGAAATAATTCTTCAATTAAAAATTTTTTAGAGGCTCAAATAAAATTATTTTTAAATGATTGACTTTTAACTGTATGAAGCAAAGCAATTTTATAACATCGGAAGTAAATGAAAGATCTTGTATGCACCGTCAATTGGCAATAACATGTAGTATGGACAGTAATTTATCTCTAGCTGAGAATAATAATATCTCTTCAAGATATTAAAAGATAAAAAGGAGGTGTAAAAATTGCAGAAAGAGTAAAAAAAGAAAGAAATACAGATAAGAATGGAAATTAGATCAAAATGCAGCTCCTGAATTAAGCTCTAATAGTAAAAGATAGCCTTAATTTGTATTTGATCATTATGCCTATCATTACAGTATTATTTAAATATTATTGAACGCTTTTTACTTTTTTAAATATTATTGACACACGCTTTTTACTTCCTTGTACAAAATAAAGGAAGTATTGTTATCCCGAAAAATTTCGATTTCCGATATTATCAGAAATATCCATTTTGATCGTTCTTGAATCCATTTTGGCTAGTTCTGTTGTAGAATCTATATGTACGTATATAGCATAACTCAAAAACGATTAGCCGTAAAATGCAGAAATTTTATATACGGAGCTGCTGTAATATCTAGTTGGGTATCTCTCTTTTTCATTGCAATCGGAAGTGTCGAAAAGACACTTTGAATTGGTGTTTAATTATAGCAAAGCTCACTAGGGCTATCTGCCTGAGGGGAGGGATGCCTTCGTGGAGGACTTTCTAAGGGAAACTGGCTCGTATACACGTTACACATGGGGAAAACCACGAAAACACCCATGCAGCCAGCCCGTCACTTTGAATTGGAAGATCGTATCTTACTTTTGAAATAAATTTAAACGGAGTGCAGCAAAAAAAGTGTATAATTTAACAGGCATACAAAAAAGTCACATGGTGTCCACATTCAATTTTTTTTAATGCATGTAATATATCTATTTTGCAAGTAAATTTTGGTTTTGCAAAATGTATGAACTTGCAGGACAGATATATATACAGAGAATTATAACACGTTATGCACTGAATATTCTAAGATGCAGTGAAAATAATTACAATTACGCAAACTGTTAGACGCATGAATTCCGATTAATACCTTGAACGGAATCTATAAATTACAGAAAAAAAATATATGGGATATGCAGTTATAATAATCCAGCAAATTACTAAGACAGATATAGTGAAATTTATAAAACTGCATAATTTTCTTTTGAACTATAGCTGCTTGTCCTTCCAACATTACGTATCAGTATTTTACTCTGTATACACGCCAATAATTAGTTAAAAATGTTCAAAATGAAATATATTTATTTAAAATAAAACTCTATTTCAATATATCGAATATTTTTCTATATTCTTATAGATTTTAGTACTGTATTATTTTGCTAGTAGAATTGTTTAAAATTGTAAATTATCACATAGATTTCGATTTAAGTTTTCACATGTTCAATGCTAAAACCTTTTCCTTAACTTTCTTTAAATTTAATTTTTATTTATATATTCTGTATTTTTGTCTATTTGAAAACAGAGCGATCATAATTAATGTATTCATAAAAATAAGAAAATTTAATAGTAATCTGAATAGAGAATTATGTCCAGACGTATATTGTAAAAATATCCGAATTAGTGAGCAGCTTTATTTGTTTAAGCCATAAATGAATGTAAGCCGTTTTTATAGATTTTAAATTTTAGATCTGAATCCCTAGTGGAAAACGCACCAGTAAACCGATTTTACTTACATTGTTTTAGTATTTATTTTAGCTGGAAGGCCATTTTAGCATGTTTCAAGCAGCCTTGAAGTTATAAATTAATTCGCATAAGCTCAAAATATATTTATTCTTAGTGTTTATAAACGGCCGTGAATATATGATCTGTTACCAAATTCGAAAGCGTCTAGACCACTTTTATGAAATTATACGAGGCATTCACCGTGGCAGGAAAAATATTGTGAACTATAGCAATCAGAAAAATGAAATACAAGGGCGTGTAAAAGAAAATGGCAGGAAATTGACCGTTACCATGACTTTTCCTCTAATAAGTTCTATATTCCCCTTTCCACCTTCTGTTTTAAGTCCTTGATTGGAATATAAGCAATTGGAGATCTTAAATGAAAAATGCGTTTGATTATTCAGAGGATTCCATTTAAAGAAATAAGAGAAAACATAAAAAAGTGTATAAGAATAATTATTTATTATGTATAAATGGACGAAGAATTAAAAAATGTGCAGAAGAAAGTTGCAAAAAGCGAACAATTTTAAAATGGCCAAAAGAGAACTGTAATAGACGGACTAAAAATTTAAAAATATATAGAAGGAATCCTCAAGCTGTACATCTTTAAAGATTTAAGAGGAAAGATATTTCTTCGAAAAATCAGAGGGAATGCAGCAATATTACTAAAATAAAATAAAGTAAATGAAATGATCGCCTTTTGAACAATGAAGAAACGGAATGAAACATTTCAAACTACGAAGAAGAGCAAACTCGAGAGATATAAAACAGAGCTTCCACATAAAGGTAAGAAGAATAATTTTAAAACCTGTAGATAAGGACTTTCACGACTTGTGTTATGATGAATCCCATTTTCCTGCGATCCCATCATAAAGTCGATTCAAAGAAGTTATTTTATTTTTGATATCTTTGATATTTTTTTTATAAATTAGGCTTTTATTTAACATATAAAATAGGTTTAGGAATGTATAAACATGCGTGACATTAATAAACAGTTTATTTGTATACATATGCACTACATACATATTTTATAAAATTAACATACACTGTTCCTTTAAATAAATTAACATGAGCAAAAACACAAAAACATCTAAACAACGTCATTAATTGAAAATAACAGGTGAGTAATTGTTACTTATTTTTATGATTCCCTACAACCGGGAATAATATCTTTTTATTAATCTTAGTTTTGGCTATCGTAAAAGCGAATCATCGTAAAGTGGGCCGTTACAAGTCGAGAATCACTTGTACAGCATAACAAAATACAGACGAAGCTGTGTAGTAGTATTTTTTCAAAAATCAAGTAGACAGATATTTGTTTTTCTAAAGAAAGTTAATATTAAAAAGTTTCAAAGAAAATGGACCGCAACCCAGGAGCGGAATAGTTGGTTCTGAATTTGTATATAGCAGTAAGAAATTAAAATTTTCAAAGTACATTTTAAGAAAGAAAGGGAGAGTGCATAAAACAGCAAACTGCTTTGAAATGTGCAAATGTAAAGTAATTAGTTATTTCTAACAATCTGGTTCAAATTTGCTGACAAAATAAATTAATAACTGTTAATTTATGGTTCTGCTATTTATATTTTTTAATATATATTCTGGAAACTAAACAATCTCACCTTATATTACGCACATCCCGGACTGCTTTCTAGAATTTTGCTGTTTATTTTCAGCCGCAGATTACAGTCAAATGAAATATGCGTTTGCCATCGCAAAATGATATAGGCCAAAAAAAAAAAAAATCTTTTTTTTCCACTTCATATTGCCATTGGGGTTTTAGATATAAACTAAGAATGAGATGGTGCCATTTATAAAGGTTAAGAACCTCATGGTGTTAAATTACAGTGTAGGGATTGCTTCACAAAAATCCCCCCTTCCCCCAGGATAAAGATGCTGACATCTTTATACATCAGCCTGCACAGAAACCTTCATAAACATGCCCCACATACAGGGACCTAGACCTTCATGCAGATCTAAAAAGTAACCCTCATAAAGATGTGAGCACCTTTATGCCTGAGGATCGTTATGAAAGTAGACTTTTAGTTTGCTGTTCTAATTAATAAAGAAAAGAAAACGTTTACTTGCATAGCGGTGCCTGTGAAAAGGTGTTCATACCTTTATGTAGATTGCCTTTTAAAAGTTAAAACTGAGATCATTTTTAATGCCAATTTTAGAGTTACTTTATGTTTAATTATTCTTTTAAAGGTTCAATCCTTTTAAATTTGCTTTCTCGGAGAGTGGATGCCTTGCATTAAATTCACTACACCTTTATGATGGGCCAGAGTTATGAATGTGTCTTATGATGTGAATTCTGTCCACACTTAAGAAAACCACACTGTCCGCCTATGGCTTTATATACATCTTCATTCTCTTAAAGATTTTTATTCCTTGTGAGCTTTATGGAAAAAAAAAAACCTATGTTGCAATTTGAAGTTTTCTAGGTAAATCATGCCTTGAATTCATATAAGTTTTGTAACATCTTCTGTTTTCTGAATCGTTTTCTAAGAGTGTAGTGCTGCATTACATTCGTGTATGTCACTTTTTATTTCCTCAGGATTACTTCACCATGGAAGGCCTCTACAATTACAGTTGCTCTTCCGGGCTGCTTCTGCCGCTGATAAACGAGTACACGTGGTCGTCGGGTACCCGAGCCTTCCTATACTTGCTGGGTCTTTTTTATTGTTTCCTGGGAGTTGCTATCATCGCTGATATCTTCATGTGCTCCATCGAGAAAATAACGAGCAAGACACGCAAGATTATGCTGTCCACTGCCAGTGAAACTGAACCAGAAGTGATCGAAGTCAAAGTGTGGAACGACACTGTTGCTAATTTAACACTCATGGCTTTGGGTTCAAGTGCTCCAGAAATATTGCTGTCCATCATCGAAATCGTTGGAAATGGGTAAGTACACACTAACAATATTATAACTCCCATGCATTCCATTAGAAATCGTAGTAGATTAAAGGGTCTATCAAACTAGAAACCTTGTCGAACAACATGGCACTAGAAGGAATTTATTGGACAGTTTAGCATATGGAAAGATCGCTAGTTATCAGCTGATGATAGAACCGAATGCCAAATCCGTCCTTCTTTTCCTCTGTTTTATTATACACATATCATTGCTAGAGGTAACTTAGTATGTCTAATTCCTTTTTGCTTGAATGGTACCCTAATTTTCCTGCTTATTCCAAGCTTTTTCTTCAGGAAATTTATAAGAAAATTGGGCAGATCAGAACTAACATTAATAATTCCATTTCATCCTTCTCGCAATTATAAAATTTTAAGTAGTTCAGGGAGGAAGTTCAATTTTTGGATCACTTTCTCACCTATCAATAAAAATCGTTCTTCGATTTTTAAAGATTCCATTTGAGATTTCCAGAATTCTTATAGTTTACAATTCTTTGCCGAATCTAGAATAACTTGTGAGTGTGGTTTAAGATATATCGAACAAGTTAGTGTTAGAAGTGCGCGTCAAGGAACACGAATCTTATATCCGAATAGGAGAAATAAACAACTATTCGATAGCTAATCATAGTTTAAACTGAATCACGATTTTCACTTTGGTTTTTGCGACAATTATCCATAAAGTTTTTCCACTTGTGAATGGATTTACTTAAAGCTTTGACACTCACAAAAATTAATCTTCTTTAGGTCACGACGTTAATTCCAATCCAGTTTTCCTTAATGTTTTTAGTATTCTATTGTCGTAATTTTCACGTTTCAATTGTAATATTTTTCTCAGTAGATGGAACTACGTTCGTTTTTGCGTTTCTCCGCCCATTGCTTTCTACACGCATACAGTCGTTGTTCAGTCAGTCAGTCGCTTTTGCAGAATTTTGCTTTGCATATGAAGAATAGGGACCTGTGCCTAATCACCTTCTGAAACAATAAAGTTTTATTGAAACTCTACGCCAAAATAGGCTTGTTGCTTTGCCTAATTTTACATTTTACACTAGCGTAAATTCTAATTTAATCAAAGTTAATAAAACTTCTAATTTAATCAAAGTTAATAAAACGTCAACGAGTCTGAAGTGTGTGAAAACATTAACTATTACCAGAATTTTAGAATACTGATAAAATGTTGGAGAAATAGAAATAAAAAATCTTGCTATTATATTAGGCTATCTTTATAATCAAAATGTGCACAGATTTTAAATGCAAATACGTTAACTGTCAATAATTATATTTATTTATACGTGGCAACACAAAGACATATTTTAAGTTAAAGTATCATTTTATAAAAAGTACTTTTATATGCGATCATGCACATATAATCCGCATTCAAATAATCTAGAATTCAGTACATAGCAAAATACGGCTTGTGAGTAAAAATTTTGGATCTTAATTTTGGAAACATTAATCGGGCAAAACTCTAAAAGCATTAGAAAAGTCTGTCCATTGCACCATTTATTTTAATATAGGTAGTAACAGCAATAAATAATTCTTCCGTTACCACCGACCGATGCACGTCTTTAGGTTGCCAAAGGTTACCAAAGATTCCTTTTCAGAGACTCTTTACCATCCAGATCAATCTCCAGTAGCCGAATGCCCCAGTTTCAGCATCCAGAAATGAGGTCAATGGTAACCAATAGTAACTAGCGTATGTTTCGATTTTTATACTCAAAAGATTATGTTCAGCAATGCGAAAAACATTAGTTTGCAATTATCGCTTCCATTTCACTATCGCAGGATATTGTAACCGTAGTTTAATATAGTTGCAATTTGCTGTTTTGCTTGAAAACAAAAAGTGGGACTAGTAATATTTTCAAAATGACGTTACGGAAATAGTGATAATTAGGTGTCTGAATATTTTAATTATTCTTTTCTATTTTCGACGAAATTTCTCTTTCATTCTACAAGTAATTAACTTTCTCATTAATAATTTAGTGTTTCTTTCTGCTACCAGTTACTAACGCGTCTGTGAAAGTGAGTACAAACAGCTTCTGTGGTTAGTTTTTGCACTTTTTATTTTCATACGAATACGTCTATCTGTACTTCTTTATTTCTTTCTGCATAGTTCTGAAAGCAATTACAAACTATAATCTTTCTTGAAATTGGCGTCGGATCGACAGTCTCTCTACAGGCACAGGATTGACAAAATAGCTGAAATTTTGGTTTCGATCCTAGGAAACATACTTTTTGTCTCCATCGATCCTATGTGGGTACCCTAAAAATAGTAATTTAACATAATTCTTACCTTTTAATTGTTCACCGTTGCTAATTATAAGCCTTGCCTTCTCTAAAAAAATGTCGATTATACGGCTTATTCAAGAATACAGGATCCAGATTCGAATACCGCAGAAGACTTGGTGTTTATAAGTATATATGTTTGTAACAGCCGTGATCAGTTGGCCTCTTGGCGACGCAATAACAACACCACGAATTAAGACTTCCTATTTTTCTTACATGAGAGCACTTCAATACGGATTATATATGTACACCATGCACAAAACCTTGCTTTAATTCTATTGAGGTACAAGTTTTAACACACTGACATTTTGGCTTCTCTCATTGAAAGTTTTCAACTAATTATTCTCATTTACTTAGAAAGCCAGATAGACGAATGGAGGAAACTTAATATGCACAAGCGTCTCTCAATACTATTTCTCTAAAACAAAATACTAATTGCTGAGTTATATTCTATTTGCAGTACATACTCTTGTATTCTTACAATTCATTATGTTTATACGATTTTGAATCTAAATCTAGAAATGGAATATTGTTCTTTGAAAAATGGATTTGATAATGAATGGAGAGTGCTCATCATCTGATCTGGACTTATGCTAATTTTCCCCACCATAGCAATATTTGCCATTTTTATTGCACTTGTTTCAGTTTACAAATTTGCTACTATGATACTAAGTATTATACTTTAATAAGATTTAATGAATGCGTCATAGTTTTGAAGAAGCAAGAGCTGTTTCGATGATGTCAATGAATGTCACAGTTCAGTATCGTAGGACTGGAGAAGAGTCATTATTTTAATTGTTCTGTGCTTCATCTGCTTGGTTTTCACTACGTACATCTTGAAAGGTAACATTTCTATTGTTGAGAGCATGCTGTAGTGAGCAGCCGTTAACGGACATTTGAATATACAATGATCAGAGTAATCCCTTCTTTTCTCGCATATGCAGTTGTCATGAAGAGAGAGAGATTCCTTTTGTAAAAATACGTAGGGGACGGACCATGCCTAATCAAGCATTGGTTTAGGAAAAAATTAGTACTCTTCCCATCGCATTTTACTTGTGGCCAAAATTCATGGGGTTTTCTGCCATTCAGAGACACTATCCCAATTAGTTTGCCATTGTATGTGTACTGTATTTTTCATCTGATTCAAGAATTTTCTCGTAAGTGCTGCCATCTATCAGCAATGCTGTTAGAATTATTATATTACTGGAACAAAGCTTGTAGTTTTCTTTGGTCTGGTAATAACTCTTCTTCGAGCCAGTCGCAAAACCCCCTGTAACCACTCTCTCGAGAGGAGTTTCGTCAGGAATTATATTTTTAGTGCCTGAGCCGCATAGACACTATACATTTACAAACATCCGTGCCATCTCCGGGATTCGAAATTGTGGCCTTCACTACGCCAGTCAGCGTCACTAACGACTTTTCCGTCTGGCAGCGGCTCTCTTTTTCTTCCGCTGGTGACTAGAGCTACATCATCTGAAAAATCGTACATTTTCTTATGGGAAGAAAAAAATAATGATTTGTTATTGATTGAATGCCATGTTTCAAAGGTCTGCGTTTAAGCAACAACCTTGCGGGCATCCTCTGGACTGTGATCTTTCTATTATGATATTACTGTTCATGATTATACACTTTCTATTAGCAAAATAGCAGTTAGTCATTAGTTGGAATATGTTCTTTGGGCCTTCTATATTTCGCAGGAACTGTATGACCGCTGGCCATAATAGGGAGTCGAATGCACATTGTAGGTTGGCACATACTATGGCTGAGTGTTTAGATTCTGATTTATTCCGTTAAACTTGTTCAGCTATTGAATTTACTGCAGTTATTGCTAGCGATTAGATCTACGGCCGAAGTGATTATTATTTAAGTAATTCTTTTATTTACATGATGCTTTAGTCTTACTATTATCAGGCGCTCGAGGACGCTAAGGTGGGCTGGGCAGTAAATTGATGGGACGGTAAGACTTTGCGTCTGCTGGGTCCTTATTACTTTTGGAAAACAGTATTGCACCCTTTTGAAGGAATCCCCTCCAAAAAACTCCGAAACTTAAGCATTTGTTAAAAAGGACGAAAGAAATACTTTCGTTTGCTTCTTTAATTAATTTGATTATATTACTATCAACTGAATCGAGACATGGAGCTTTCTTCCTTGCTAAATGTTTAATAATGGTACTTATATCTTTCCTTGAGATGTCATCTCTTGTTGGAGGGCAATTGCTTGCCCTTGTTGTGGAGTATCTTCTTCAGGATCGTCTTTGAGTAAAACGGTATATAGAATGTTGTTTAATGAAACTTTTGTTGTTTCCTCTGTTGTAATTTGCTGCGTATTTTGGAACTGTCTGGGAAGAGTAATTTTTTGCGGCTTAAAAACCTTGCTCGTTGAAATCTGAGGTAGATTTCATTAGGTCTTCTTATTTTCTTTTCGTTTAACACTTTTGAGAACCAAACATTACTATATCTGTGGGATATGCATGCACTTAAAATACCTGAAGAACTGAAAAGCCCTTTGAGAGGCTTAGGTCTAGGAGAAGTGAGGTGGAAGGACCTCTTGTCCATCCACTAGGGTTTTTTGAATCAAAATCGGGACGGAGCTATACAGTAAGTGAGATGGGACTATACCTGTAAAATTATTGATGAAGTTCTTGTGTCTGGTCTACTTCTTTCTGTCCTGTCTTTCCGATCCTATGCCAGTAATGACTTTGTTCAGGTGAAAATATCTGTTAATCCTCTTACTCATTATAAATACTATTTCCTTTTTTATCGTTTCAAACGTACGGCATGTCAATCGCGTTTTGATATTTATTTTACGCTATGTGGATGCTATACAATTTCGATTCAACATAGTATCAATATCAGTTCTATGTAGTGTCTATTCTATAATTGATTACAATTCTTTCGGTATCCTAATAACGTTAATTGCATCTTAGTTATTTAATTAATCGCTCTGTACGTTTTATCTCTCATATTACGTTTTCGAATAATTTGTAATGTATCGATTATAAAAATTTCGTTTGGTTGTTGTATGAGAACAGACATTACAACGATATTTTTTTTTGTTTGTATTTTTAATCGAACTTTTTTGCTGTTAGTCAATCAAAATTTATATAAAACATTTTTTAAATTATGATAAATTAATCATAATGCAAGGCACAAAATATCTTCTAGAAGGCGAATTTAATAATCAATGTTTCGAGATATTAAATTGTTGATTTTTTTTATTTATGCTAGTAATTAAATGATACATTTTGCTTCTTGCTTTACTTAATAGAAACTCACGAAACTCGTGTTTATCCTCTTCATCAAAATTTAATGCTTCGATGTAAAAATCATGTTTTTGTTTCTTAAAAAGAAAATTATTTTCTCGCCATTTTCCGATATGCAGTATAAATTTTGCACTAATTATATATTTCTATAATAATACTGGACTATTAGTAGACTTTAACAAGTCCCGAATGGAATAAATGTCTTTGGAACGCTTAATCTAAAGTAACAGAATTTATACGAATTTGGCTTGTTTGAAGATAGGTGATGACTGCCCGTATAGTCTGTATGCATCTGAAATAGTTTTGATGAATGTTAATAGTTTGTGATGTAAAACTGAATAAACGTATTTTTAATATGATGTTAAAGAATAAATATAAGTTACCTTGATACTGTTTTTTTCATGATTTTAACTTCATATGAATTAGATAAAGAAATCTATTTATTTTTTACTCGATTCATTTAGATTCAATATGAATCAAATAGTGCCTTTTTAAAATCTTTATCTGGATTTAATTTTAAAAACACTAGCAAATAGTTGAAAAAAAAAGAATTTAAAAATTACGCTGATAATCGTCATTGAGACTTTTTCACTTTCGATCATTTGGTTTTGACTTTGAAAACACATATTTTAAGCGAGAAAATTCTAAAATTAAATCTAAATATATAATATAAAATCAGTCAATAAATAAAATATAACAAGCAAAAATAAATAACTTGCGTAAATATAGTTTTTCTTATTTTATTTCTGCAAAATCAAATCTTTTGTTGTTAATAAAAATCGTGCTTCAATATACTGTCGTAAATGCATTTAGAGACACCAGTTTAAGGTTTACATAAAATTAGCTAAGTAAGAATCTTGCACTCGACGTATGGTTTAGTTAAGACTCTATGGATTTCAAAGGCAAACAAATTCCTCTTCATCAGGAACAAAGACAATTGCAAATTCCTTTTCTCCAGGTATCAAATTTCCTTGCTTCAGGCCTTTGCTTTGAAGAGGGACCTGTACCTATTTGCCCTCGAAATCCACAAAGTCTACGCCAAACAAGATAGCTACTTTGCTAATTTTATGTTATACTTTGGCATTATTTATCTTCTGCCTTAGATTATGAATGAGGTAATGATACATAAATGGTACGAGAATGCATTTATAAAAATCCGAGTAAAACTTATTTTGAAATGACGCAACAGAAAGGTATAGAGAATTAGTAACAGGTAAAATCGGTATTTGTAATAAGTTTTCATGTTTGTTTCCCTATTCTGTCTCTCTTTATTATTGCATGTGTGTGTGTATGTGTATGTGGCGTACAAGTATCTTTAAGAAGAAGAATTTACTTTTTATATATCTTTATAAATTTATAAATGCATTTTAAGTGATATGATTTAAACAAAGATTTTAATGTAGATTTATTTGAAAGGTACATAGTTTTTAGGCTAGGTTCATATTAGAAATTAATCATCTCTATTTTCACAATACACTGTAATTTTTATGCGCATTATTGCGTTCTTTTCCTCCGGAATACTATCTCCCGCGTGAAAGCAGAAGTGGGTGCATCTCTTGTTGCACAAGAAGTATTGTTTTCAGAAAGACAGTTTACGAAAAAAACATCTTTTATTCGATTTAGTACAATATATTTTAGTAATAAATACTTTTGTTGATTCCAACCTCATTTTCCTTTACTCATTTGCTATTGTCATCCCTAAGGTTCACTGCAGGGGACCTAGGTCCAGGCACTATCGTCGGATCGGCAGCTTTCAATCTACTTGTCATATGCGGTGTCTGCATTGTAGCACTACCATCCGGAGAAACAAGAAGGATCCGCACCTTTAGCGTAAGTATCTTTCTTTCTGTGGATTCATTATAGTAAGAGAATTATCTTAGTATCCGTTGACTCAAGAAAATAGGTCATCGTTATATTAGGCGATGGCGTAGTGGCTCAGAGATCTAAGTCAGGGATTCGCCATTTGTGACCTCTCTACGCAAGGTCAGGAATTGCCAACGTTTGCGTGCAACGCATTGTTAAAACTAGCGTTTCTCAAATCTTTTCCACTAGAGAAAATTTTAAATTTCTTCATATCGTACAAAGCCACTGAATAAATTTGCAATGAATTCTTTTTAAGCCGACCGCACACAGCTCCGTTTGATTTTGATTTTTGTGAAGGTGCATAAAATAATTTAGACCTATGGAGGGAATTAGAAAGGCTAGGTTTAGTACCGATTCTTCTTTATGATCGTAGAAATACTGGTCACGCCTAGAGGCAGTTGTCTAAGGAGATGACGGTGAGGAGAGGGTACCTACGTTCTAACATTGCAGTAAACTCCCCCTTATTTGGCCGAACTGGAATTGTAGCCCATCCTGATGCTCGAAAACATTTTCCCACGTTCCTAGCGCGCCTTCGTGGTGTAGTGGTTCTGCACGCTGGGCCGGTATTCCAGAGGTCCGTTTTTCGATTCCCGAGAAGGCGTTTGCTAATTTTTCATCTTGCCTGCCTCCAAAAAATACCTAATGTCTCTATAATTCTTTTTTGGTAAGATCAAAACTGATAAGATTATGATAAAATCTTTTATATTATTATCTTTTCTTCTTTTGTTATTTTTTTTTCCAAATATACATTAGCTTTTACGGTATGAGAAAATTATCGCATTCCCTCTCGGCGTGCTGTCGTGATTAACACATTCAGTTAGCAATCTGTGTTTAAATCCCAGCGAGGCCATAGTGTATTTTAAATGTGTCTGGCAAAAAATATTTAAGGATCTGTACGATGGAAACCGAATTAAAATATGACGGACGATAATTCGTTCCCAGCTGGATTTAGTCGTGTGGGTCTCGTGCCTCTCTCGCATTTGCCTGTGCGTGCTGTCGCGGTGTGAATAGTTAACACTTTCAGCCAAATCGAATCCCAACGAAAACACAACTGATTTTTCGAAATATTTAACGGTCTCTTCACTCGATATCATATTTTATTTCCGCATTAAAAAAAGCAAATGTTTTTTCGGCAAAATTAAAAGTGAATTATATTTGCAGAAACGTCTGATTTTCCTCTATCTCAGCTAAATACGTAAGCAACTGAATTTTTAAAAAAAATATGTAAGCTTAAAATTTAAGCATATAATCTTGTTTTGATTTTAAACACAAATAAAATTAAATGAAGAAATTATCTATAAATAATATAAAAAGTAAAATGCATAATTATTTCTGTTAAATACGAATTAAATTAAGATTATGAGTTTTATCGGCATAAAATAATAATTTTAATGATATAGAACGGATTACTAAACTTTTGATTTTTCATGAAAAATGTAGAAAAATGATTCCTTTAAAGCTGGTATCTTCTTAAAAAGAATAGTGTGTATTTATTATCTTTTCATCTAATATTAATTAACGGAAAACTGAAAAACGCGTAGATTTACAAAAAGCTTAACTTAGCCTAAAAAGAAACTATCCAAACAGATCAACTTCCGATTATTGTTACCTCTAGCAGCGAGTATCTCTCGCAAAATATGTAGACCATTATATTACTGAATGTTCATGAATGTAAAATAAGACATAATTCATCCTTCGATTCACAAAAGCCTTATAGCTAAGAGTCATGGCCCTCTACTACTCTTTTAAAGAATCCAGGCCCTCTACTTCATTGGGGAAAAATGTCGCCTTCATTTTGACTAAGTATGTCACATAAATACAGTGGCTCACAGAAATGATTGGACACTTTGAATTTTTGTATTCTTTAATGAACATAAAAACTAAAATAAATTAACCAAAAAGGAAGGCTTTTATTTTGATTACATCTGAATTAAACATTTTTCTTACAGTAAATATATTTTCGAAAAGACGAAAATTAAATTAAAAAATCGATTTATAAAAGCGTATGATTTTTAGATTTTTGCCTAGCTTCTTTATCCAATAAAGAAACAATTAAAAATATCATTTTTTTTTTTTTTAAAGAGAAAAAATATTCTGACGAAAGTACTCGGACACTTTTAGTAACAGCAAAAAATGACAAAAACTTACATTATTTTGCTTCTTAATAACTTATGGAATTACTTTTACGCTTAATCATTTTATTTCATCTTTTGGGAACCGACTCCAAAAGTTTTTTTACTTCCTTGTACGAAGTAAAAAGGAAGTATTGTAATCGCGAAAAGTTTCAGGCAGCATATTTCAACGAAAATATCCATTTTGACCGCTATCGAATGCAATTTAACGATGCTTTTGCGTGATATCTGTACGTAAGGACAGAATAAAAGACTCTTTTCCTTCAACAAAATTATAAAACTGCTTTAAAATTAATTCTGAAGAAAATTTTTCGTGGCATCTGTACGAACGTATGTACGTACGTGCGTACGTACGTGCGTGCGTACGTACGTATCTCGCATAACTCAAAAACGAGTAGCCTCAGAACGTTGAAATTTTGTATATAGGGCTGCTATAACATGTAGATGTGCACCTCGTAGTTTGGTTGCAATCGGCCGCACCAAACGTATATAAATATATTTATATATATATCCACTCTATTACCCGGCTCAGTGATCTCAGTTTCTTTTTACTCTTATATGTTTGTAAATTGTACATTTTTTTGCTTTAAAAATGATTGAATTATGTTGTTTTTTATCTTCCGGTTAAGGATTTTATGCCTTTAGTAAATCTGTGTGCAATATTTTTAGAATTATCAGCAATTTTAAAGTTGTTTTAATTGCCGCTAAGCCTGTTTTTTAATGGCAGCCATTGACGTTTTACATTTGAACACAGAGACTAGTGGATTTGTTGCCAATTTGGAGAAACTTAGCTTCGCAACAACAAAGATAACGCCTTCATTTTATTATTGCGAATTAAATCATGCTTAATTCTTCTTTCTGGAATTTTTTTCGAGGAAAATAAGTGTTTAAGATTTACTTCGTAAATTTTTAATATAGATATTTTGAGTTTTTATGTATTTTTGCCTTGGCGGCGAAGTGAGAACTGAATTAATTAAATGAGAATTACTGAATCGTCTGTGAAAAAACTGTTTCTTTTTTGTTTTGTTTGCTTAATTTCTCTTTATACATCGTTTCTAGAGCTTTATTAATAGTATTTGAATAGAACATGTGGCAACGATTAGATAATTCTTCCAGATGATATACATTTTGTGCATTCTGAGTTACAATATGAATGAAATATAATACTGTTAAGTAAACCTAGCGCCAGAGTGTTCGCTATGGTAAACAAATAGAGTGAATTTTAAAAGAATGCCTTTATTCTATTGTGGTTTATGCGCTGTCGCCGAAGTAGATTTAATTCAATCCTAATAAGTTTAAATGAAATTCAAGAAGAAATGCCTATAAGTTAGTATATTCCGTACAAGGAAGTCATGTGGTGTACACATCAGATTTTGTTGTTGTTGTTGTTGTTGTTATTTTTGGATTTATTTTATGTTACTCTTCTTGAATCGCTGCTGTCAGTTGCTGCCTTAAAGATATGCTCTACTTCTAAATTTTCGATTCTATTTCATGTCAGATATGTTTTACAGAATTAAGATCTGGCGATTGGAGTGATGCTTTACTTACTTCTGGACACTTATATAACAATCAGAGTCTAACATTGTTTGGCAGTATGCATTGGCCTGGTAGAATTTAAAAGCTATTTTGTATATTACGTTTTTGCACTGACGATGCCAAATTTCACTTCAAGAAGTCAAGGTTCTTATACTGATCCTCAATACCATCTTTATTACCAGCACCGGAATGTGCGATAGATTTCCATACTATAATTCTTCCTAAGTTGTATTTAACACTTGGTACTAAGTTTTGCATCCAAAATTCTTTGGGTTTTCTCCACACCAGTATTTGTCCATCTGAACCGAAAGATGTTAACCTTGCTTTTTATCAGCAAGTAACACTTCTCCCCAATAATCTGGTGTCTTTTGTTTCATCGATTTTACGAAAGCGAGTCGAAGAAAATTTTCTTTCTACTCAGCCATGATATCCTGCAAATCGCATTACTCTTCTCACAGTTTCTGAATTTACATATATTACATATAATCGTTTCATTCCATCCGATAACTGGTCTTCCAGGTCTTCTTTTGTTTTCAATATGATTCTGTTTCTTACAACGCTTAATAATATAAAAAATTCTAGGGTTACTTAAATTAAGTTAATAGGCAATTTTTCTAAAAGGTTTCTCTTGCTTTTCATGCAAATCAATAACTAATCTGCGGATTTCTAACGATGTTCCCTTCCGTGACCGAGCCATTGCAATAAAACATTAAAATAACGAATATTTTCTGAAAAGAAATTTCGATTTATACAAGCATATGATTTTTAGAATTTTGCCTAGCTTCTTTACCCAAACTAATTGCATAAAATTTTGTTTTTTATTTATTGCAAACTAATTAGAAATTATTAAAATGTCCGATTAATTTTTTGGTATCTGTTTTTTCCATTTTAGGCTTAAACGTTATTTTTTAAATTTACTATTTAATTTTTTCAAATTTATTTAGTACAAAGAGAAAGTTAAGAAAATACATGTTCAAAGGGAAAATATTCTTTATTATTTTATTTCAACGCTTTTCTCTTAAATTTTTTTTTTTTTTAAATTCAGTGGCCGATCATTTTTGTGAGACCTTGCAGTAAAATTAAAATGAGCATGTAATCAAAAAATCTGATGTGTACACCACATGACTTCCTTGTACGGAATATTAAATTATAGGCATTTCTTCTTGCATTACATTTAAACTTATTTGATTGAATTAAATCTACTTCGTCGAGAGCGCATAAACTACAATAGAATAAATGCACACTTTAAAATTCACTATATTTGTTTACCATAACGACACTCTGGAGCTAGGTTCACTG